AATATCCCAAACATTTCCAAGAGAAACCACCCCAGACCATGATTAAGCTGTCATGACCTTGTACAGTTCCAACCTGGTATGCAGTATCCACGGCTTCATGAACATATGCCATATTCTCAGCCTCCTGTCGTTACTAATTAGTAGGAATCGAGATTCGTCATTCCCTGCTACTCATTTCCAGTCCTCTAAGTCTATTCTGTGTTATCTTCCCCAGACGAGAATTGCAGCTAGATGGCATGCATTCAGCAGTGGTACTTATTGTCTACAGCTCTTCGAAGCCCATATGGTGAACCGACCGTTACAAGATCCGTTTACTGACTGATTCAGCTGGGTGGAAAATTGAGCTAGCATTTGGCTTTGTCGACTTCATCAATACAAACGGATGAGCCGTCTTACCATGGATGAAGAAAGGTTTCTATTATGAGACACTTAGGCTTATTGCCTTTATCCCCACATCATCAAAGAATTATTTTCATCGCCAAAAAGAAGGTTTTGCAAAGAGGTAAAATTTAGTGCCAAATGTTAAATTTAACACAAGAGTAACTGCCTTCCACAGTGAAAAAAGGTTAAAAACACTGAGGGACTTAATTTAGTAAATTTTTTGTGTCGAAAAACTGACCAGAATAAATTTTGATGGGGTTACATCATGAATTTTGACAAACATCAAAGTTTCCTTGATCAATGGTCATGTGGTGTTAACAACACAAGAGCAGAAACACTCGCAAAAAACTTCATGTCGCAAGTGCTTCGGGTCTGGGAGGGGGGGAGAATGGGAACTCGTTAGGCGAGTTTGATTTAAAGAGACATGGATAGCAATAGCTCTGAGGTGAAGCTTTTATAAATACAAAATGATTTCTTTAGCTTTAAGTGTTATGTCAACTAATAAAAAATAGTATTAATTCTCATAGTGAGATTAAGTTAAAATTAAATAAAAATAATTTTAACTTAATTTTTAGAATCATATTTTGATGATTTAGCCCTAGGATCGTCGTCTGTCGAAGAACACCGCAAGTTGTTGCGGAAGACACTTACGATAGCCAGAATAGCTAATCTAAAATTTAACATCGAGAAGACACAGCTATCTCGGAACTCTGTGACTTATTTAGGACATGTATTGTTTGATAAAGGCATTGCACCTGATCCAAAGAAGATCCAAGCGATTGAAAAGTTCGCAGAACTAAAAAGCCGAGAAGACTTGCAGCGATTTCTAGGAATGGTGACATACTTAGCAAAATTCACACCTCAGTTGTCAAGTCTAACTCATTCGTTAAGGCAACTTTTGAGAAAAGATAGCGAATGGTTATGGGATGAAAACATCCAAAGAGACTATGAGCACCTAAAACAGATGATAGTGCAAGCCCCATGTTTACAGTATTTTGATGAAAGCAAACCTGTAACTGCGTCAGTAGACGCCAGTAAATATGGAATTGGAGCAGTTTTCCTACAAAATAATCAACCTGTGGTTTTTGGATCAGCATCACTGACAGAAACGCAGCAAAGGTATGCGCAGATTGAAAAAGAACTCTTAGCAGTTGTATATGGGTTAGAACATTTCAACTACTATACATACGAAAGACATGTAACAGTGCAGACTGATCACAAACCATCACTAAGCCTTAGTAAGAAACCGTATGATACAATCTTGCCTCGTCTTCAGCGCATGCTCTTCAAACTGAACAGGTATGATTTGAAATTGGAATATGTTCCAGGAAAAGAATTGCTAATAGCTGATGCCCTATCCAGAGCACAGTCAACTGTTGACACCTTTGATGACACCTTCAGTCAAGAACCTACTGTTAATGTAAGTCTATTAACACAAGCCTCTATAACAAAATGGCAGAAAATCGTAAAAATGACAGAAAAGGACCCTGAATTGCAAGATGTGTTATTTCATATCAAAAATGGATGGCCAGAAGGAAGCAAAACAAGGCCAGCAGCACAACCTTACTGGCACTGAAAAGAAGAGCTTTATACAACAAAGGATGGAATAATTTGTCGAGGACAACGACTAGTTGTGCCAGCATCTCTTAGGAAAGAAATTATGAAAAAACTGCATGTGTCTCACAAAGGTATAGTTTCTAGTAAAGCTAGAGAATATTTTTACTGGACTAACATCAACAAAGATGTGGGAGAATATGTTTCTAAATATGCGATATGTCAGAAATATCAACAGGCTAATCAGAAAGTTCTTTTAGATTGTGATCTACCAGAGAAACCCTGGCAAAAAGTTGCCTGTGATTTCTTTTACCTGAAAGGACAACAATATCTGTTAATGATAGACAACTTTTCAAAATATGTAGAGCTGAAACCACTTAAAAGTATAACTGCTCAAGCTGTTATGACCGTTATGATGTCCATTTTTGCAACACATGGAATACCAGTGAAGCTCAACACTGATGGTGGACCACCATACAACTCGGAAGCATTGCGGAAATTTCTTGAAGAATGGGGTGTTATGCGTAACATCACATCACCACATTTTCCTAGAGCAAATGGGCAAATTGAAAGATCTGTTCAAACTCTCAAGAAGTCTCTGAGCAAAGCTTCAGAAGAAGGAAAAGACTTGTATATTGTTTTGCTAGATTATAGAATTGAACCTGCAAAGGATTTGCCATCTCCGGCTGAATTATTAATGGGAAGAAGACAGAGATCTTTTCTGCCATCACATCCTAAAGCATTGCAACCAAAATTTCAAATAAAAGGCATAAGTAGAGCCTTAGAAAAAAGGCAGATGGTACAAAAGAAATATGCCAATAAACACGCAACCCAGCTTCCAAAACTTCATGAAAGTGATAAAGTGTGGTTCAAATGGAAAATTAAAGAGCACTGGAAACAGAGTATGATCATGAAGGCAGATCCTCAACCAAGATCTTATGTCATAAAAGCGAATGATGGAACTGTGTATACAAGAAACCGACAACAAATTCGTAAAGACAAGTCTATGTGTAAAACTACACAGTGGAACAGAACGGCAGAAGATTTGTTTGGACTTGGTCAATCAACACTAGACCAACCTATTCTTGTAGATGATGATAAGCAGGATCCACCTAAGTAACAGGAAAGTGATTCTACTAAACATTCTCAAATTCCAGGAAATGTGTCAACTGAACCAATGTTAAGACAACCAAGTAGAAATAGAATAAAACCTCTTCGATATAGAGACAATTAGGAAGAACTTATTGATGCCAAAAAATATACTTTATTTATAGACTAATTATGGAATTTAATGAACTGTTCAGAACTCTAAAATATCAGTTTAATTAGTAAGTCACAATTTTAAACATTTAAGTGAGTCATCCAGATATGTAATTTTGCTGTGTTTTTAAAAGTTAACTGTTAAGCAATAATTTAATGCCAAAATGTTTCCTTAAGTTAACTGCTAAGTAAGTAATGATGTAAAATAATTATTGTACTAAGTTAGTAACATGCACTACTCTTGTTCTATAAATGAAAAGGTCATGTTAGATATTAATTACTTTGCTTGCTGATAGATGGCAGTGCCTCTAACCTGACTAACTAGGCAAGTGCACGGTATTTGTGCTGCATCACACTCTCGTTACTTGCCGCCAACCATGTAGCATCAATGTCTATCTTACTATCTTATGTATAAGTAATCTAACTTAATCTTATAAACAGTAATTTATCTATGTTTCACGAGTCAACATATATAACAGCGTCGAGTACCTGCTATCTGTTAGCAATCAGAAGTTTTACCTGGAATGGTAATTGAAACAACTGATTAACAACAACTATAGCACTAGCTATATATTCAGTTACCACAAAGCCCTCACGTGAGCATAAATGCGTCGCAGCACTACAAAATTTGCATAGCAGCGTCTATACCCAATTTAGTGGCACTTCAGTGTATACACACACACACATATATATATAAAAACAATTTTTAAAATAACATTTGAATTTACAGTCAGATATCTACAATCAGATTAGTTTGCAACAATAAATAATCATTTATTTGTTTGCATTAACGAATAAAGAATGTTTGTTAAATTCAAATTTCATTCCTTGCAGCAATGGCGCAAGAGAATTATTTAAAATTAAATTTAACTTTATTCTTTTGAAGTAATTTTAAAATAACATGATATAATCATGCTAGTATTTTCGAGAATTAAGGTACCGAAAATAAATTTCATTAATTTTTTGAATAAGGGTTTTGCTTGTTTAAAGTGTTTTAGTTTTGACATTTTTTTTTAAATTCTTTTATACATTTAAAGGTTTTTTTAAATTGATTACTTATGAATTTTTTTGCCTTTGTGTAAAACTGGTTCTAAATTTCTTACTTAAGTTTTACATGTCTTTACTTATATATACATGTATGTTTGGGATGGCGAATTGCAACGAAAAAGGAAGATGCACAACTACATATTATAGCAGTTCTATATAAAAAATTTCAATGTTCACACTCGTTTTTGAGTTATGCAAGATACATACGTACGTACAAACATCACAAAAAAAGTCTCTTCTTCCATTTTACATTTCGTTTTGGAAAGAGTCCTTTACTCTGTCCATACGTACGGATGTCACCCAAAAACATCATTTAAATGGCTTCGAGAGCAGTCAAAATGGATATTTTTGCTGAAATATGATACCCGGAATTTTTTGCGATTACAAATACTTCCTTTACTCCATACAAGGATGTAAAAATGAAGAAAAAGAAAAAAGTACAGTTAGTTCTAAAACTTAATTAATTTCATACTGCCACATAAATTGTTAACTATAATAAAACAGCTCATATAATTATACTTTTCTGATAATAAATAAATCGCATTTAAAATTTGTATGCGGTATTCCATGCATCAAACGCTGGTAGACACCCCTACCTCCACGATGGTACGGGCTGGACAGCTGAAGGGCTGACTGACAGGGGAGGTTGTCTAATATATGCACTAATGCATGAGTGAGTAAGCATGGATGAGAAAATTAAATGCTTTTTTTTTTTTTTTTTTTTTTTTTTTTTTGCATATATATAAAAAAAGAATTACCTCAGGTGGTAAAGGAACATCAGGCGGTAAACATTTATCAAATGAATCCTCTTCATCTTCTTCATCATCATCATCAATACAGGATGGTGTAGGTATTGATGCCATCAATGTTTTTGCATTACCATAAAGACTACCTTTAAAGTTAAACTCGCATCCCTTTGGCCTCTCAATACTTCCAAAGAGACTGGCATCAGACTTTTTACTTGATGCTGATAAGTCTACATTAAACTTGGATAGAGATGCCGAGCTTTCAAAAGAATCGGTTGCAAGAGGTATTGGGACAGATTTGATTTCTGATATTTCAGATTTTTGAGTTAAACCTCCACGGGCAGCATTATTCGCAGGAAAAACAGATTTAAAACCTGCAGTTGCACTTGCTTCAGCAACAGATGACAATCCAAAAAATGGAAGAGCTGTTGACTGAGTGAGTGGTTTTATTTCAGAAGGAAAACCTACTGAAGAATGTTTGATAGTGCCCAGCAAGCCTGGAGATGCCTTTTCTGTACAAGTACTAGGTTGTTCATCAAAAATTTTCTTATTCCCCATATATGCACCTGGTTGAAATTTATCATCCAGATGTAATTTCTTTTCCTCAGTTATTTCATCCAACTTGGATTGACAAGCATGGAAAGTTTTTAAAAACTCTTGGGCTATTTCTGTACTTTTAAATTTCGCAGCAAACATTTCTTTCTTCAGTTCTCCATCAGAAACATCTTCCGCATACCAAATCCAAGCCTCATTATTATTTGCTAATGGAGTGAGCTGCATATGAGGAAAGATGTACTGATTAGTACATAATTTTCCCGTTCGCATTGAAATCCTACCCATTTTTCTAGCTTTAAGATACAATATTTTTAACTCTCCAGTACAGTACTTTTTCCATTCCTTTTCATCAAAGTCAAATCGGAGCAATTTGGCTTGTTCACCAAACAACTCTTTCTCATCTTCAGAAGACTTTACCTCAACTAAAGCAGGCAGAGAAACAATTGGTTTAACCTCAGCAGCTGTCGCAAATTTGTAAGCGAAATCATTAATGATATTAGTTGACATTTTCTGATCCTCAGTCGAGACATTATTATGTGATGGTAAACTGTAAGCAGAAACATTTGATGAAGAGGCGCAATTCGAAGCACATACATTGTAATTTGAAAATGTAGCAAAACTTTCTGAGCTTCTTGAATATAGGGTGTTAACAAAACTGATGTTCGGTAACACAGAGTTCATTTTTGATATATTATTTTCAGTACTTGCTGCTGATCTTCCTGTAGTAATGACAGACTGGTTCCTGTCATAATGACAGACAGGTTTTAAACCTGCAAGAGATGAAGTCACAGCTGTGGAGTGCGAAGACACGCAAGAAAATCCAAAATATGAACTAGCTTGGCACTTTTCAGATTTTGTTGAAGCAACTAATGTTCCTCTAGCTTTGGTATCAGTTTTCGTTTTTTTTATTCTTCGTCCCGTAAAAAACGTCAGACCCTGAGAAATATTTCTTTGTTCACTAACTGACGAAATAACTGCAGAATTTTGGTTGAAACTGAACAGATTTGCAGTTGAGTTACTTGTACTGGTTGCTACAGATATACTAGGAGAGACAGTTTTTTTATCTTTTATCATTGGGACAGTAGAGAAAGTCAAACCATCAAACATATTATTTTGATTAATGACGGATGCAAAAACTGCAGAATTTTCCCCGAGGGTAAACTGATTCGCAGTTGAGTTACCAGAACTTGATGCGATAGGTATGCTAGTAGAAGCAGGTTTTACTTCTTTAAGCACTGCGCTAGGCCAAAATGTAAAACCACTAAAAGTACTCTTTGGAGAACTGACTGAACATGCAGCATTCATGTTGAAGGTAAAAAGGTTTGCATTTGACTTTGTACTACTAGTTATAGTAGTTATACTATTAGAAGCTGAAGTAGCTTGAGAACCAGGCTTCTTGGCTTGACATGCAACACATACAAGTTTATCAGCAGCATTATTAGTATAACAAACTGGACAAGTCCAAGAATCAGCTTTAGGTAACGAACGAGTTCCATATGGCTGCTGTGTAACAGGATAAGTATCTGTTGTAGATTTGATAACTGGATTAGTTATATTTCCAATTTTGTTTTCTTTTAATATATTTAACACTTTCTCAAAGGCAGCCTTGAATGCCGCTGCAATATCGACAGTTTTAAAGCAAATGCATAAATGTTCATATCTCAGCTCATTTTCAGCAAACCAACTGAAGGCTTTGTCGGACTTTTGAAATGGATGAATTTTCATACAAGACGAAATACGCTGGTAGACATAATATGTTGGAACCTAAAAGACAGAAAAAAAAATTAATAAAAATTTATAAATACCCATGATGTTGAATCATTTTTCTAGCTTTAGATTACAAATATTCTTAACTTTCCAATACCGGGTGTTTTCTCATCCCTTCTCATCAAATAAGTTATATATCAAATAAGAACCAAATAGAAACAATTTATCTTGTTTATTATAAACAAACTTCTTTAAAAAATGTTGGCAACCGCCGTTGATTCCCCTAGCGCATGCGCATGATAAGCAAGTTCTCTGCTGCGTAATACTTATACTTAGTATGTAGTTAGCCAAAGTCAATGGTGAGTATTGCATGTAAGAGAGAAGTGCTAAGTGCTGTGTAATATCATTTTTCTACTCTGCTGTTCAACGTCTTCATAGTTTAAATAAATGTTTGTTATGTACATAGAAGACGTCATTTTATTCTTCATAGGTTATGGGCCCAGATAGCGCTTAACTGTGCAGTGCAACTACCATTGTTAAATTCTTCGGGAAAGCCAAGCTGCGTCGATTGAAATCAAAATGACAACGCCTACTACAGTGTCAATTGAAAAGCTAAACAAGGACAACTTTGATACGTGGAAGTTGCAAATGGAAGCAATACTGATTAAAAATGATCATTGGGACTATGTAACTGGGAAAATTCCGAAACCAGAACCTGGTGATGAAGAATTTGCTAAATGGAAAACTACTGACCAAAAAGCACGAGCGGATATAATCCTATCCATCTTACCCAGCGAACTTCCGCAAGTAAAGAATTGTGTAACATCTCACGAACTGTGGCGTAAATTGCATTCTATTTACGAATCGAAGGGACCAGCTAGAAAGGCCACAATTCTAAAAAAATTGCTTTTTACAAAAATTAGTGATTCTAAACAAATGACTGTTCATCTAAATGATTTTTTCATTCTTGTGGACAAACTGAAAGAAATGGAAATAAGCATTGCGGATGATTTGCTTACAATATTGCTTTTATATAGCATACCGGACTCGTATGAGAGCTTTAGAATAGCCATCGAATCTCGTGATGAACTGCATCCGCCAGAAATGCTGAAAATTAAACTGTTGGAAGAAGCTAACGCTCGCAAAAATAAAGATTCATCGTTTTCTGAACCACAACATGCGTTCTATTCGAAAGATCGGAAGTATACTCAACGACCGGTTCCTAAACCGAAACCACAATAAGTCTGCAAACCGAAGACAGTATCCAGTTAACTAACAGATGCAACTTCTGCCATATCTATGGGCATAGAGCATCGGAACGTAGGAAGAAAAATAAAGAAACTAAAAGCAAACGCCTCAGTGAAACTGCGATGCCTACAGAAATTCGAATTCCTTGGAGCGAGAAAAAGCCGTAGCATGCACTAATAGTAATTCTAAAGACATTTTTTGTCTGGATAGTGGTGCCACATCGCATATGTGTAACAGCAAGGAACTGTTTCAAGAAATTCACGAGGTAGGTGATACTTATGTTAAATTAGCTGCTGATAAAACTGTTAAAGCTATTGGAAAAGGAACTGTTAAATTTAAAGTTTGCATAGGTTCTAAAACTGAAAATATCAAACTCAAAAATGTATTGTGTGTACCTGATTTGAAAAATAATTTAATCTCAGTGTCTAAAGTAACTGAAAATAATCTTTCAGTAATTTTCAAAGAAAAATGTGCTCAAATAATTAATTCTAATAACGAAACAGTAATTTTAGCTAAACGCGAAAATGATCTTTATTTTGTCATGCCAATATTTGAATCTGTATCAATTGCTAAAGAAATAGATCAGTGGCATATAAGATTTGGCCATTTAAATGAAAATGATCTTAAAAAACTTCAAATAAATAACATGGTTAGAGGTCTTTCTTTTTCTCAAAATGACTCTCTTTCTACTTGTAAGGTATGCATTCAGGGTAAACAAACCGAAACCCCTCTTCCAAAAGAATCTGAATATAGAAGTACTGAATTGTTGAATCTAATTCATACTGATTTGTGTGGTCCCATGAATCAATCGGTGGATCATTTTATTTCGCAACATTTATCGATGATAAATCTCGATATGTTCGTGTTTATTTTCTGAAATCTAAAGGATGAGGTTAAAGAAGCTTTCAGAAATTTTAAAGCATCTTTTGAAAATAAACTTAACTCTAAAATCAGAATATGTGCGAACCAATAACAGGCTAGAATATTTAGGGAAAGACTTTAATAAATTGTCTTAACGAATGCGGGAATAAAACACGAAATGAGCACTCCTTACACGCCAGCCTGCCAGAACGGCGTCGCCGAAAGATTAAATCGCACTTTGGTTTCAATGGCCCGATGTTTGTTATGGCAATCCAATCTGCCTCTAGAAATTCTGGGCCGAAGCCGTCAATACCGGCTGCTTACATTCGAAATCGCTGCCCAACGCGAGGTTTAAAACCCGAAATAAAAACACCTTACGAAGTGATGTTTGGCAGAGTACCTGCTGTCTCTCACTTCAGAACCTTTGGCCAAAAAGCATTTTCGCTAAATAAAAGGCCAAGAATAGGCAAATTTGATATTCGATCTAAAGAATGTATTTTTATTGGCTATTCTGATGAATCAAAAGCGTATAGACTTTGGGATCCCGAGGCATGTAAAGTGATAATAAGCAGAGATGTAAAATTTATTAATGAATTTGAAAACTGCTGTAGTTATGACTCAGAGCAAGAAATAAATCTGCCCTTCGTTGTGAAACATGTTGTGAAAAATCATCACCTCTGGACGGTAGCGAGTCGCCACTTGGCTCTGAATCTGAAAAGGAAAGCGGTAAATGATTTAGATAGTGAATCAATGCCCTTCCTATCCTGATTAAAAGGATGCCTGGTCGACCCAAGAAAATAAAAACAGGTGTGCCAGGAAGGCCTAAAAAGGAATATCACTATACAGTTGTAAATAAAAATGAACAAACTCAAAATGCTGTTGAGGAAAGCATTAATCCTACGGTGCAAGAAGCATTAAATGGACCATATGCTGAAAATTGGCATAATGCCATGCTGTTAGAATATAACTCGCTTGTTCAAGAAAAGGCTTGGGAATTAGTAAACAGACCTGAAAACAAGAAAGTTGTGCGTGAAGTATATGAACGCGGTGAATTAGATGTGCAATACATACCTACCAGTGAAATGGGAGCTGATGTGTTAACCAAACCCCTGACTCCCGTTAAACATCAAAACTGTTGTACAATTATAGGATTGAATACTGTTTAATATGTATTTTGTTTTACTTTTCAGGAATAGGAGAATCAACGTCAAAAGGGGGTATGTTGGCACCCCCTTTCCGCCGTTGATTTCGACGCCCCCGTTGATTACTAGCGCATGCGCATGATAAGCAAGTTCTCTGCTGCGTAATACTTATACTTAGTATGTAGTTAGCCAAAGTCAATGGTGAGTATTGCATGTAAGAGAGAAGTGCTAAGTGCTGTGTAATATCATGTTTCTACTCTGCTGTTCAACGTCTTCATAGTTTAAATAAATGTTTGTTATGTACATAGAAGACGTCATTTTATTCTTCAAAAAAATCTACCAAATAATATTTTGTTCAATTCATTAATTCTAAAAAAGAGATAAAATAAAAGAAACTCGAACAAATATCAAAAATTTTAGAGCATCCTAAAAAGACATCTATCGTTCTCCGTGAAATCTTAAACCTACATAAGCAATGCATATACGAGGGCTATCCAGAAAGTAGATTACGTTTTGGAATAAAAAAATAAACAAAGTATAGGAAACAAATTTTATTATATACAGATGAAAGCCACACTCAAATACTACTTTTCTACATAGTCACCATACAAATTAAGGCATTTATCGTAGCGATGTACGAGCTTGGAAATTCCTTCGTCGAAAAATTCGGCCGCCTGCGCCTTCAACCACTTCGTTACCACTTCTTGCCTTCCATCTTGCACAAAACTTGTGGTAACCAAGCTTTTCGCTGATGATTTCGTGCAACAAACTTCGCGAAATTTGTGGAAAACTCAAAGAAAGTTCCGTTATTGTGAAATTTCGATTTTCACGGACTTTAGCATCGACTTTTTTCGAGAAGTTCGGCGGTCACTATGCTGGGTCTCTCCCACTTCGATCTTCGTCGTCGTGAACATTGGTTCGGCCATTTTGAAATCTTATGACCCACTGACGCACTCCACCTTCAGTGATAATGTTGTCCCCATACACTTCACGAAGCTGCCGATAGATTTCTATCGGTTTACAGTTTTTTGCAGTCAGAAACCTTATTACTGAGCGCACCTCGCGGGATTTTCAATTAACGCAGACATTTCAAACCGTCACAGTATCTGAACGGAGCACAGCACGAACCTCTCACTAGCACGGCTAGATGCAGACTGAGCTGCGCAACGCTCTGACCCCAAGATGGCCGCGCTAGCCCCGCCCCTAGCGGACACAGACGGAAAGGTAATCTACTTCCTGGATGGCCCTCGTACTTGATCAAATAAAAAATAATTTTTCAGAAAAATTAAAGTATTTCCAATATTCCCATCTTACATTAACCAGTCTACTTTTTCAGTATAATTTATCATTTCTTGGACAAAGAAAATCACATGCAAAATTTAATATCTTGTTTCTCATCAGGGTGCAGATATAATTTTTTAATGTCGATATAAAAAGCGATAAGGATTATGAAAAACAAGAAATCACAAATGCACAGTAAACAATTCCTGTACTCATTCCTCAACACAATATCCATTTGCGCAATGTGATCTGATAGAAAATATTATATCTTAATAGACAGCAGTATGATGAAGGACACTAAAGTCTCTATCTTAAAGATGCCACTTGATGTTACGGATGTGTTATTTGATGTATTATTATTATAGCTGTGTTATTTGTATAAAAACTGATGTTTTTTAAGGGCTTTATCAAGCCATTAAATACCATTCCATAAAAAAACATTTCATTGCGTTATCTCGTTAGCTTTCAAAATGATAATTCTTTCATTATAAAGGGTACAAGAGCGCATTTATTCATGAAAAAAAATGCATCATCAGCATTTAAAATGAACTATGTTTGCCATTCTTTTGCATTATGTGCTAGTCATTAAGTACTGTCTTCATATCTAGAAAGATGGGATTGCGTGCGTTAATAAAATTTATATGATGATAAGTTAATAAAATTTATTTTATCAAAAGAAGCACTTAACGTTCTGGATTTTTCCACAGAAATACTCGTACAGGTGTTCATAGTATCCGAAAATACAATCGGTAAATATATTTCAAACTAATAAGTACGTCAAACACAACACAATCCAAAGCAAATCTGAAGAGATAGCTAACCGAAGATATCTCAATTCACACGGAACTAACAAATGGCAACAATAACAACTGAAAGCAGATGCTTTCTCCGGTCTTGGATAATTTTCACCGACCTCCGAAATATTTCTACTGCCTTCTGCTTCTCGAAATTACTGGAAGCCAATATGAAGGTCGAACTATGGTTGCAGCAAATATATTGATCAATTACAATAGTTATTACGGTGATATAAGGAACGAAACCAAATACCGCCAAATGGCAGCCATGTTCACCAAATTTGGAGACAAAATAAATCGCCAAAACCGTTACCAGGTTCCCGATATCTCGTCAAATTTCTGAGATAACCATTTACTCAATGTTAAATGCACTTGCCCACGTATTCTTACTTTTACGACGTAGCTTTTCTCTCTATGATTTTTCATGTTACATTACGCTGAAGAAATACAACAGTTTCACATATAAATGTACTAAAGTTCCCCAGTCGTCCCCCGTTGCCGCCACCGGCAGCACAATCCCTGGACAGGAAGCCATGCTTACAATTAAGGCAAATCATGTAATATTCAAACAATAATTTCAGTACAGAACAAATGAAATACTAAATCAATAACTAAATGCATCAATTTACAAATTCAGAAAAAAAAAATAGCACCAGAGAATTTGGTGACTAACGGATCTGAACTAAGACGTCTTTCAGCCTGCTTAGGACTGTATAAGCACAATCCCAAGGCGACTGTAGTTTATGAGAGTCTTTTCCGTTTAATCGGATTCCACAAACACACCTTGTCACCTTCGATGAATCGATGTCTGTAATTAAGACACAATTACACGCCAAATAAGTACTAATTCAGAAGTCAAACAAAAAAAATCAGGGTTAATTTTCAAAATTTTCACAGGACTAGTTTCAATGGTTTTACCGAACCACCATCCTCACCTGCAAAACCGCAAATGAACTAGATAGGAAATAATGATTAGATAAGATAAGAAAGCCAGGAAAAGAATAAGCAAGTGGTGCCATCTATTGGTGAAACCAGAACTAAAACATACTAGAAAATCCAGTTCTCCAACGGACCAACAATGTTGAGCAACAGAAGACTTCCGTGTTTCCTTTTTTCTAACATATGCCTCATGTTCCTTGACGTGAAATTTTAAGGCTCTCTTAGTTTGGCCAATGTAAATTAAACCACACTGGCAAGGAATACTATAAATACCCCAAGAATTCATATCCGGAATGGGGTCCTTGAGTATGGAACTCGGAATTTTATTGACGGGAGAATAAACAACCCGAAAGTTAAATTTCTGCAAAATATGTGCAGCTTTATAGCTAATTGATGGAAAGAAGGGAATGACAACAGAATTTTTATAATCTCCTAAAACAAGAGTGTACCTTTTAGTGTGTTGAGATGAGAATTTTTTAACTGCTTGATTAATAATGTTGGGTGAAAAGCCCCTGTCAATAGTTACTGCTTTTAAATAATTTAGTTCTTCATCAAGGGCTAGTTTGGAGGAGCAAACTTAAAGAGCACAGAAACCATAGGAATAAAATGAAGCTAACTTTTGTTTAGTCGGATGACATGATTTAACGTGTGGTGGAAGGCAAACCGATGAAGGTTTACGGTAAACCGTAGTACTGAAGTTGGATGTGTTACGTGTGACCAGAATGTCAAGAAATGGAAGAGAATTGCAAGTTTCAAGTTCAAAAGTCAACTGAATAGCAGGATCAATAGAATTCATTGTTGAAAGAACTTTATTTAAATCATCTTTATTACCTTCAAACAGGGTAAAAGTATTCTCTACGTAGCGGAACCATGCCAGGAAGTTTAAAGTTTCAAACAATTTTGATTCATAATAATGCATGTAGATATCAGGCAGGATGGGACTGAGGGGGCTTCCATGGCTAATCCCTCAGTTTGCTTGTAATATTTATTTTGGAAAACAAAATGTGTTTGCTTCAAACAGAGTTGAGTGAGAGAAATTAGCTCATCAATTTCGATACAAGAGAAATGAAATTCGTGAAGTCTGGTTTCTAGACACCTTAATGCACCCTCTACTGGAACATTGGTGAATAATGATTTTACATCAAAAGAAACTATGAGTAAATTTTTAGGAGAAATGTTTTTAACCTTTTTTTTAAACTCTATTGAATTTTTTATGGTGTAAATGTTATTGTCTAATAGAGTTGAAAAATCTAGAAACTAAATATTTAGCTAAGGGATACGAATTCTTGAGGTATTAACAGGATTCCTTGCCAGTGTGGTTTAATTTACATTGGCCAAACTAAGAGAGCCTTAAAATTCACATCAAGGGACATGAGGCATATGTTAGAAAAAAGGAAACAGAAGTCTTCTGTTGCTCAACATTGTTGGTCCGAAAATCACACTTTCAATTTTTCTGCTGCCAAAATTATTCAAAAATCATCTTCCATTGGAGAACTGGATTTTCTAGAGGCATTTCACATTCAAAAAAATCTTTCTGTTCTTGTTAACGATCCTAATTCCAATTCATCTTTGCCTTTGGCCTTTAAAGAAATTATGCTTTAGTTCTGGTTTCACCAACAGATGGCACCACTTGCTTATTCTTGTCCATGCTTTCTTATCTTATCTAATGATTATTTCTTATCTTGTTCATTTGCGGTTTTGCAGCTGAGAATGGTGGTTCGGTAAAACCATCGAAACTGATCCTGTGAAAATTTTGAAAATTAATGCCGATTTTTCTTGTTTGACTTCTGAATTAGTACGATGTCCTGGACTTGTGTCAAATCGGGTTTTCATCCTCTCCATCACCATGTTGACTCGCTCTTGTGCAAAACTGTGCATCACTTCACACCGTGCCGGAAGATCTTGGTCTCAGGCGATGAAGGCACAAACGGAGGGTGAAAACAAGACATCACAAGGCAGGCGAAGGTTACGACCGAAGAGCATCTGTGATGGAGAATAGCCGGTAGTCTCGTAACTGCTTTAGTAAGAAACGTTTTATCCCAAAATGTAATTTTAAGTTCAGTGTTAAAAAAAAATGGAAAACATCGAATGACGAAATCATAAACAAAATTGCAGATGGTTCTCATAAAAATCAATCAAGTTGTCTTTGACATGAAGAAAAATGTGTTATTAGCAACTGCAATGGTACAAGTTTGTAATTCAGAAGGAAAAAGAATTCCTCTTCCCACTATTCTTAATTTGATGACGGCAGCATATGTCAATGGTTGCCAACTCTCACTTTCAAATGTCCCTAGATACACCTGCTGAAGTCGCTAAACTCATAAGGAATTTCGCCAAAAATAGTAACTATAAGAATAAAGAATAAGGTATAATTCAAATTCCATAAACACAGCTTGTTCTTCATGCTGAAGGCCACATTACTAGTTGAATTTATGTGATAGGAGTCTGTCTTCGGCGTTTCTTTATTCTTGCCAATAATGCTTGTCACGCCAACTTGCGCGTTAATCAGTTCTGTGTAGCCTCTGGCTAACTTACAACTTGACTTAGCTTTAATTTCAGTTCATTACTTTTGAGTTGCGCCGTATGCTGACTGGGTTTAGTAAGTACAAGAAGTACCTTCTGTTAAATGGTTTGAGTTCTTAATTTAAAAAAAAAAAAAAGTCTTTTAAACCGTTTTTCTGTTTTCTGTTTTCTTATTAAACATAGCAATAAGTCGCTCAGATCCAGCTAGGGTCTCGTCTTAACGTATGCTTCTCAAGAAGGCAAGCCTCTACAAACTATTAATACGAATTTCAAACAGTTTTCTCGAAACAAATTTAAAATGAGAAATTGACCTAAAACATTTTTAAAAGTAGATTTATCAAACTATACACATTTACCCACATACATACATGCATAAATATGTGACTTAAACATTGTAAAAGTAAATAATGTTGCTTACCATCAGGTGCGTACAATTCTGCTTGGTAATCTTTAAAAATGCGGTTTTAAGCCTTCTGTAAAAGATAATTTGTATATATCCTACACCTTTCTCCTTCCATTGGCCAGCATAGAAATAGAACAATTTTCCTCGTTTTTTAAAAAAAATTTCTTCATGTTTACCTTCTCCAGTATTTCCAATAACCTACAACAGCAAGCAAACGAATGAGAAATTTACACCTAAAAAAATATTCAAAATTAGAAAAACAATATTTGCAAAATATGTGAGAGTTACTTAAGTTCCATTAAAAAATAAACATTTATTTGCATGCTACAATATCATCTGACAAATTCCGTCACAATAATTTCTTCAGTCAAGTTTATGTAAGTTAAGTTATCAGATAAATACTATCGTTCTTAATTGCAAACTGCGCTGCTACAGAATGTCAGGCGAATTTATTGACTTTCACTGGAACGTTCGTGCTTTTTTTAGTTGTTATTACGAATGAAAGTTCAATCCTGTGCATGGGGAAGTTGTCTGAAGATTCGCCAACTAGTGTAAACTGGTCAGGGTGTCTTAGCCTGACGACCAGGGCTGTGGAGTCGGTTGCCTCATGCTGTTTTTGAGATAAAATGGTTTTAACTAGTTATTTATTATGTTATGATCATTCTGACTTTTTTTGCTTATCCAATTTTCATGAATTATTAGAGCATATTAACCGTTATTGTACTCATTGGTCTTCATATTCAAAATATAATTTCCTCAATCATAATGACCATCTACTTCAGATGACTAGTTCTGAAAGTGATCAGTATTTCTGAGAACATATACAGTCAAAAGTCGTTAATCCGGACTCATCAGGACTTCGGCGATTCCGGATTATAGATCATCAGTTTAAATCTGGTAAGATGGCATGCAGAAATTATAAAATTAAAAATATGAAGCCGTAATTTATGAAATAAAGAACAATTATGATCTAAAGGGTATCAAAATTTACAAAAAAAAAAAAAAAAAAAAAAAAAAGCTTTATATTTATTTGTTTACTTTATTAAACATTTCTTTCAATGTAAGTTGTTTAAGTTGCTTCGTTTTATGTGATACTTTCTCTTTAATTCTATAAACATACATAATTTCTTGTTCAGTTACAAAGTTCCGCTGTTCAAGTCCTGTAATTGCTGTGTCGAGAATACCGACTAATTTGTCAATCGAAATTTTTTCATTTTCAATAACCTCTGTGTCACTTTCTTCACTACCAGAAGCGAATTATAATGACGAAGAATTTGACTTAAATCATATCATAGACGGAGTACATCGAGATGAAATACTACATTTAGTAAGGAATTATAAGCCAAACAAAATAAAAACATCTGCTCTAAAGATAAGAATAGTGCCGACAGATCAACTTCCAATTCATTGCGTGCCGCAGCGTCCCCCCCCCCCCCGGCCACAGAGCAGCGTGAAATTGATAAACAGATTTCGGAATGGTTAGAGAAACAAAGAATATGCCTTTATCCATTTTTTGCAGCAATTCCACTTTTTGTTTAATGGACTTCGAAACATACTTTCGCTTTGTAGATCCTTTACATATTAGTAAATATATATTGGAAATTCTATTTGACATAATCGAAAGTTCAAGCTTACTTTTATAAAATTGCTCTAACAGTCTGCAAAAAATAATAAGCTGGATCCAATTCGAACATTAAGGAACAACGCAATCTGCAACAGTAACTGAATTAGATAATTTTAGCTTCGCTTATACCGTCTGTTCTACATTAAACGCGCACGCGTAAACGTATTATGCGCATGCGCACACGCATATTCGCAGCCATAAAGGTCTTACACGCATGCGTAAACGCCTATGCGCATGCGCAGAAAGTTTGTAGCTTCTCAAATACTATCATTATCACTATACATGGTCATTTGGAGGCGACTATACTTTTCTTTGTATGTAGGCCCTTTCGGTAAAAATTTCACACCACACACTAGCTACATGGGTATTTTTCGTGGTTTAGCCCAGGAGTAGGAACTTTGTAGCTGTAGTGTGCCAAACCAGTTTACCAATATGATTCATGATGCCGTACAGTTCGAAATATTTAAAACAAATTGATTCATGCAGCAATGCATGCAGAGTTAGGGAACAGAAGACAAGAACAGAGTTTTATTATGTATTATTTTAACAAAAGTGTTCATTAGAAAAATTAAGCACTGTGATGAAATTCTGGCAACTAAGCTTTCCTGACAGCGCAGAGAAAAAATACAGGAAGATTTATCTTTGTCTGATAACTTTCTTAAGAGCGGTGTAGAGTGTCACTGAGAATAGTACTGCGTGCCTTAAGTTGTCGATGCCTGGTTTAGCCCACATTATGTGAATAGAAGCCAGTTTTCTGTAGAAAGTCCTCTAAAGAGGCATATTCTTTTGTTAGCCATCATGTATATGACATGTAAATAATATATATACCAAAGATTCATCTGTTTGTCTAAATCTTAACACATTTCTAAAACAAAACTAAATTTCTAAATATAAGGAGAAAGAAATCCTTAAAGTCATAAATTCAAGTTAAAATTTTATGAAAATTTTTTTGAAAAATAAGAGCCCTTACTAAAAAATACTTTTAACTCAGTTATCAAGTTCGCTTTTTGTTCCTGTGTTTTACAAATTGTATTCAATGATTACATACATAATTTATCTTTAATACTTTTATACCCATTTTTTTTATATGTTCAACTAAAGATTAATATTTATTCTCATTAATAATAAAATAATCATAGTTTGACTAAAACAATTTGATACCCTGTTTTATGCATTTAATGACATTGTTTTTGTTGCATTAATAATGTAACTAATTGCAGAATTTGTAACAACAGAATAACTAACAAATCAAACAGGAAATTTTTCTTAAAAATTCACTTTTGAGTATTTCATTAATATTCATATTAAAAAAACTCTCTTTTTGGGGAATATGAAACATAGGTAGCAATGAAGTTTACTTTTTATGTGACTTTGTAGCATTTTCTAAATGTTGAATTTACAGGTCAAATGTAAATGGCCACTGAGCTTAACTCAATGGAGAACTGATATGTCAATTATTTTAAATGAACTTCTGTTGTTTCCGTTTCTGCGTTAATTGCAGATTGCCATGCCAGAGAACATGAAAATGTCTCACCTTTATTAAAATTAAATTATTTTACACCATCAGTTAGTTGTAAAGCATGTTAGGAGCAAGGACTATGCAAGCATCATGGACTATGCACTTAACAGAATGTTAGATACACCCAGAAATTATTTTAAATTAATTTTGCTTGTTGCTAATACCATATCAAAGAGTGCCATTGTGTTTTCTATCAATGACATGAAAATGTTTTTGCTTCTAACTATCATAGAAATTAAAAGCTTTTAGAATTGTTTCCCCTTTTACAAAAGTAAAATAATTTGTAAAATGAAACATACTTTTGTTTGCAGAACAATCACTAATGATACTTGGAATGAGGAGATGGAAGAAAATATGGAGCCAAGCCTCAATAGTTCTATACATGACTCAGAATTCGACTTGAGTGCCACTGTTCCTTCTGATGACGAAAGGGGTGTCACCGATTTAGAAAGTCTGTCAATAATGACAGACAGGACAGAGGCAATGACAGATAGGGTCGATTTTAGCCAGGCTCCAAAACATCTGCATTAAAGAATGGCGATTCAGCATCCAATGTCTGCACTAAAAAGAGGAAAAAAGATGCAACAGATGAAATTCTGGATTTCATGAGAAGTACTACCTCTGTATTGACGGAAAAAGACGATGATGATCCCGACAGAAATTTCCTACTGAGTATGCTACCGGATTTTAAAGAATTAAGCAAAGAGGCAAAATACAAAGCAAAAATGGGTTTTCTGAGCTTACTGCATGAGTTGGGAAAATAGCTTCAACTCTCCCATGCTCATTGACTTCATTTTTTTTTTTTTTTTTTTTTTTTTTTTTTTTTTTTGCTACATAATATATTACTTGCAAAGAGAAAATGTCTTTTTATTATAGAATATTACTAATATGCAATAAACATATGAAATTAGCTTAAATAACACACAATTTACATACAAAAAGAAACATAAAGAAAACAGAAAAATAATGCATGAATCTTTCTCGAATGGCAGCTGCACATTCGGTAGCATTATTGGCACCTTGTCGACCGATTGTAAATGGCCCTCGTCTTGCCTCCACATGCCTTCTTGAACAGATCCATCTTCAAACATAAAATCTGCATATCCAAATGGACAGTAGCTCTTCGCAGCCTTACCCATTTCATTTCTCATGAGAAAATTATGCAAGCAGCAGCAAGCAAACACAATTCTATCTGCTTTGTCTGGCTGAACGTTGAGAGTGTTTCGAAGTACTCTCCATCGAGCCGTCAAAATTCCAAATGCATTTTCGATGCACCTCCTTGCCCTTGCCAGACGATAATTGAATATTCTTTTATTCTGAGGAAGGAGTTTCCCTGGGAATGGCCGCAACATATTTGTTTTTAAAGGAAATGCTTCATCCGCAATAAAAACAAATGGCAAAACCTTGTTACTTTCAGGAAGCAATGCTGGATCAAGTAAAAAATTTGAGTTTTGTAACTTTCGACCTAGTGAAGAATTGTCAAGAACTGCGCCATCACTAATTCGCCCATAATTTCCAATGTCCACATACAAAAATCTATAATGAGCATCAGATGCAGCCATTAAGACAAGGCTGTGGAATCCTTTATAATTTATATAGGACGATCCTGCATTTGGTAGGGCTTGTATAGCAATGTGTTTCCCTATAATGAAAGGGAAAAAAACACTATCAATAAAAACATATTTTATAAAATTTCATCATTCATGAATCTTTGTGAATATGTAATAAAGACATCATAAATTACAATCACAATTATTTTCTATTAAGAAGAAAATTTCAATGCAGAGAAAATATTATTTTGCTCATATATCAAATTTCATTAAAAAATAACACTACATTTTGTCATTTATGGTGTTAAACTAGTACACTAAATATCATTATTTGTAATGCCACAAATGTAATAAATAATATATTCATTATTTTCACGTATTTCATTCAAACACAATGGGCCTAAAGTCTGACAAATTGCTTCACAGATCTCGCGTATAATATTGCATACTGTTGATTTGCCAATTCTAAAGGAAAGATCTGCATATGTTCCACCAGTAGCTAAAAACCTTAAAAAAAAAAAAAAAAAACTCAACATCTAGCAATATCAGCAATAAATAATACATATTTATTCTGAAATAAAATATCTGAAAAATAGAACTGGTTTGCCATTGTACACATGAAAAAAGAAAAAATCTGTGGTAATATTTGTTAAACATAAGCTTGTTTTGGTAATTTTAGTTCATAAACTGTTTGTTCGAATATTTATGCGAGTCTATTTTCAGAACTTTTATTTATTTACTTTTTTTACTCAAAATGTGTTTTAAATAACTTTTTTCAAAACAAGCAGGTTTTTTTTAAAAAAAAAAAAAAAAACGACCAATAGTATATATGATAGAAAAGTAAACTCATTTTGCTTATATTTAGTAATAGATAATTGCAATTATAATTGGAAAAGCACAACTTTCCAAAAACAAATATCAGCTATTGCATACTAGCACAAGATGTGCCTGATATTTCATAGGCATATTATTATAGCAAATAGAAGGGTAAAATTATATTTATGGGCACCCATTGGTGATTTTTGGCGATACATGCATACCGAATTTGTGCAATTCTTTGACTTGTTATTTTGGCTTTGTGTACCTAAAATCGCCGCTACACAAAGCCAAATTAACAAGTCAAAGAATTGCACAAACTCAGTATCCATCTAACATCTCCCTCATCTTACATACATCTATTTAGTTTACCTTACAAAAAATAAAGAAACAATGTATACAGTACAAAGTCTGTAATCCAGACTCATCAGGACTTTGACGATTCCGGATTAGGGGTTTTTCCGGATTATAGATCCTCAATTTAAATCTGGTAGATGGCATGCAGAAATTATACAATTAAAAATATGAAAACGTAATTTATGAAATAAAGAGCAATTATGATCTAAAGGGTATCAAAATTTACAAAAAAAAAAAAAAAAAAAAAAGCTTAATATTTATTTGTTTACTTTATTAAACATTCATCACTTTGTCATGATTGTCACTTTTAGCATAACAAACCCTTTTTCTGTTAGTCATTGCAAGTGGGGTGTCGGAATCCACAAAATATTCAAAAAGTTCCTTTTTCTTTTTGCTTATGTCATATACAGTTGACTTTCCAATGTCATACTTCTCGCATAATTTTGAGACGTTTATGCATATAATTTTCAGACTTTATCCATTTTTTTCAACAATTCCAGTTTTTGTTTGATGGACATCGGAACATGCTTTCGCTTTGTCAATCCTTTGGCAGCTCCAGAATTTGAAACACTTTTTGACATAATCGAAAGATCAAGCTTAATTTTTATAAAATTGCTCTAACAGTCAGCAAAAAATAATAAGCCGGATCCAATTAGAAGATTAAGGACCAACGCAATCTGCAACATTAACTGAAATGCCTTAGATAATTTTAGCCTAGCTTATATCGTCCATTATACATTAAACGCTCATGCGTAAACGCATTATATGTTTACGTATGCGCATAAAGTTTGTTGCTTTGAGGTCCGGGTTATAGATTATTTCGGATTAGAGACTTTGCACTGTATATGCAGGGGTGTAGCTAGAGTTTCCAGCCCCCGGGGGCAACTGAAGAATTTGTGCCCCTTTCTGTGTCCCAATAATGGAAAACATTTCATTACAAAATTTCGTAGCATCATTTTGGTGCCTCTGAGATACTGCGCCCGGGGACAGATGTCCCCACTTGCCACACCCTAGTTATGCCACTGTATATATGCATACATATGGAAAATATGTGTGTGTGTGTACATACTCACACACATTTTCTTTTACATAATTAATGGAAACCACAGAGGTTATTGAATTCATGAGTCTTTACTTACCTCAAACAAAGTGCCAGTCTTTCTGATGGAGAAATAGGCTTTCTTAAACGAGTCGTTTTCTTTTCAATTTTCGTTCCAATCAGGGAAAGCAGCTGATCAAACTGATTGCCCTATTATTTAAATATAAACATATGATTTAGGTATAAATTTTAAAAAGTTTTTTAATTAAAGTTTAAACATCTGTATATTTCATTAATTTAAATTTGTTTTATTTCAATAATTTTATATACGTGCATAATCCTGTCGATACAACATTTATTTATGATAGTGTACATTTCAGCTTTTCCCATTAATAATCAGTAATTTTTTTCATGAAATTAAAAAAAGGTCACTGAAATGCAATGAACATAACACAATTCTATAGGATCTAAAACTCATCAAATATTTAAGCTACTATTCTAGAATGGGGAGGAAGCTTGTACAAAAGATAAAGAATAAAAATTTACATATTATTATGTAATGTGTGTACACAGTGTGTATACTTGGAATGTTTTGATCATACCTTAATAAATCACTGCTAGACCTTTTTAATGCCATAAAATGCTTATTAAAATTATATTCAGTATTACTTCAAGCAAGTTATTACAAAGTCTACTCATGCACACTATTACTAACCTTCGGACAACTCGGTATGGGTTAGAGCTGAATAAAAAGGGAAAATAAAGACGTACAGAATTATTAGTTTTATTATGATCTGCACGGCTTAATTTAATTTTGCTACTACTACTACTTAATCTATCATACATTCATTAATATACAATGCGCATTGGAGCAAAAAAAAAAAAAAATCTTTAACATATCTATTTATTAATAAATATTTCTATATGTTTTTCCTAAAATAGTTAGGGTAGTTAACTCATTTTTTTATAATTGATATCCCATCACTAGAAGTGACAATAAGAATTTGAAATATGAGAAAAATCAAGGCAACCTTATTTATCGAAACCAAGATGAATTTTCTGCTTGAAGTAAATGAAAAAATACTAAACTTACATTTACAATTTGGGTTAGTCTATATTTTAGGGTGCCCCTTGGATTATCACCAAGTTGTTGTTTAATTTATTGCCAAATTGTTGCTTCATTTATAGTAACCTGAGTAACTGAAGGTTATAGAAACCCTATTAAGACATGAGTGGTTGGTGGTTGCATCATTGAGGTGAGTTTGACTGATGGGGGAAAATATTTGTAAGGGTTTATTTCTGCGTTAGAGGTCGATTAGTTCTTTGTTCCATTTGAATACCGCAATTATCGTGCAAAAAAAAAAAAAAAAAAAAAAAACACGATGTGTTTAAGTACATTGCGTATCTTGTGCTTTGCATGGTAAAATGGCTGAGAGTGGTAAAATGGGTGTTTGGTAATATTATTTTACCTGAACAATGATCATATCCAACTGCTGGAAGTCATACGACTGTCTTTTTGATAAAGGCTTTGTTCACATCTCAGTAAATCACACAGTGACATTTAATGATGCAGAAACCGGAGCTCATCTCAACACCATCGAAGGCATGTGGAATATAATAAAAAGGAATTTTCGGAAGAAATACCACCGACAGTCCGGCACTACATAGGATATTTTTTACTCTTATTTTTGTGAATTTATGTGGCGACGGCAGTATGCATATTCTAGTTCAGATAACTTTAGAAAGTTTTTGGATGCTGTTAAGGAATTTTGTGTAGCACAGATTGCAGATGCAGAAATTTCTAAATAAGGTAAGTCGATAAAAAGTCAAGGCAGTGCGCATTGCCGAGATTCTGCAATTCTCTGATGTTTTTTTAAGTGAAAACAGATCGATGTGTACATGGACACGGAGTTTGTGCAATTCTTAGCACTGTTCAATTAGCAAATAAACTAAGCATTTTCATTTTATATTGCAAATCACACTTTAAAAGGAAATGACAAATAACTAATCATCCTTCTTCTTTATGCATTTTTAAATTCTCAATGTTTAAGAAAAATGCAGAAATTGCAATTTTCAATTTATTGTTTTGCAAGAAGCAGAAAATGTAATCTCCTTCATTGATTTTGATGTTTAGCAGGCTCTTAAAGAAACACGATGAGCATGGATTACAACAAAACTGTATATTAAAATTTGAAATTTTGGGAAATGCTACTATACCATAACTATATTATTGTTATATTGAATGAAAATTGTACTTACTGACATCCTCGTAAAATTGAAGAATAAGTCATGATAATTCTCTGGTAGATGAGGTAGCAAAGCAGAATGATGTCCACTAATTGCTCTCTGCTGGTAAATGGATTTCACCCACTCACATTTCGTACCTTTTTTACTAAAGTCTTATACTTTAAATTATTTAAAAGTAATATAATACATATGCTGAAAGAAGAAAACTCCGCAACAAAATATATTTTCGTTGTTTTCTGCTCACCACACGTTTCGATCGAACCATTAAAAAAAAAAAAAAAAAAAAATGTCGCTCTATCGCTCGAAGATTTACGGCGAAGACTGTCTGCTACCAAATGTAAAGCGCGCGCGGATTTCCGACGCGCTTATTGGCTGTCGCAGTGGACGCTTCCAGTAAGTGTGAATACAGCTGGAGCAAACCGCATGTATTCGTTACTGAGTAACGGGTACATCGGTTGACTCGAAGTACCGATTCGATACTCACAAATTCATTTCGTTACTCGCATTTATCTCTGCATATACTTACGTTTCCCATAGACACAAAAGCAAGTTAAGCAGATTTTTGTTGTATTAAGCATTAGCTAGTGTAACATAATTTCGGATTTTATGAGCCTTCCAGAATTATTAGCAAAATAGTGGAAATGTCTTTACAAAGTGTTTTTGTAAGCAAACAGTAGATGTACACTGAGCAGTGATCAACTGATATATTTTTTAAATGATTTGGTTTAGTTGATTATGACAAAACACACTAGGGCTATGTGCCTAAGAGGAAGAATGCCTTCATAGAACACTTTCTTAGGAAAGCTGGCTCGTATGGTACGTGGTAAGCTGACTTGTAAGCTAGTACGGGCAAAAAACCACGAAAACGGCCATGAAGCCAGCCCGTTCGCCTGAGATCGAACTCAGGTCGGAACTACCAGTGTTCAGCGATTTTACAGCTCGACCGCTGGTAGGCCATTTCTTAAATGAATAAAGCTATACTCATAGTTTTATGAAATAACACTGATTGCAATATTTAGTGCTTCGCTATTATCTCTAATAAAGTAACATAAAAATTTCCTTACCTTTTATAGATTTTCTAAATTTCTTAATTCCTACTTAACCTATACATGCGCAAATGTTTTTATCGATGATATTGTTAAGTGTAAAAGTTGACATTTAAATTATAGCATTCCTTGTCTCAACAAATAACAGTCTCAACAAGGAGTTTTTGGAAAGGAGATGAATCGGGGAAATTTCACCCTTTCGTCATTAGCGGTTCTGATGAAGGGAATGGGGGGAAGCAGCGAACGAAATAACGAATAACGGACAAATAACGAAAGCTAATCTTTAATGCGGTCTCCCAATTTCTGTACTTGTATTTGGGAAAGTTTTATGGTCATTATGAAAAAGTGAAAATTTGCTATGGATACCGCATGACTTCCTTCTACGACTATTTAAATTATGCTCACTTTTGCTGCACTTCATTTAAACTTATTTCCTCGAATTATTCTAACTTGATTAAGCGATACCCGAAGGCAAGTTACAAATGGCATCAAACATTGCAAATTTTGAAACTAAATTTCCCGGTCAATCTTTGTCCTACGGGACTCAAACTTCTTGTATTTTTATTTTTTCATAACGAGTATAAAACTTTGCCAGATATAAATATAGAAACCAGAAGACGACATTAAAAGTTAGATTTCATAATTTGTCCAAAATTAATTCTTTTTAAAATTTGACATTGACAAAATATGAATATTTTCGTCATTTAAAATACTTCTGCATTTTTGTTGCACCGTATTTAAACTTGCTTCCTCGAGTTATTGACAATGTTATTGACATTAATTCCATTATCTATTGTAAAATAATAATAGCAAATCATCTATTTACGACATCTCTAAGAGGTCACCTTTTTAAGAGATCTGTATTTTTGGGAACATAAAGACACATTGTTAGTGAACATCACCTTTTTTAAGACCATCACATGTAAAATCCTCTAAAAGCATGGAATGGTTGCATTTAAAGCGGACCCTATTACTTTTAATAAAGAATGTAACATTAATCTTAATATTACACGTTTTATGGATGTGTGTGCCAAAATAAGTGATACCATACTTCTGTTGCTTTAGAAACGTGTGAAATTTTAAAAAAAATGGATACTATATAACAAAAAGTGTTATTATATTCTGATACACACTCCTTTTGAACACGTCTGAAATTCGTTATTCTGCTCAGCATAAATTTGTCTGCATAAAATATTAAATAGTAATTAGAAATCAAAAGCTAAGTCGAAGTAGAAACAGTCATCTCTTCTAAACCATTTTAATTGAAGTGAACAGACGTTCGCCTTATCGTTAAGTAAATACCTATTTTTCAAACAGCGGATGAAACTGGAAAGATGTCATTGGGGGGGGGGGGAAAGGCAGCGAACGAAATAACACTTTTTCGAGCTGGGGATGAAATGAGAAAGGACGAAACGATACTCAACCAATAAGACAAGATCTGGTATTTTACTTTATTATTTAACTAGTCATCATAAATTTAAGAATTATTTTAATTTTTATTTTTTTTTACATTTCTATTAAATTTTACTTATAAGTATTTTTATATTTCAGGTTGCGAATTATTATGTTACTTTAATTATTCATTATTTTAATCACTATTTTTATTATTTTTAATTATTAAGTTTTTTAATAAGTAATTTTTTATTTTTTAATTACTAATTAATGCTATTATTGTAATATTTATTTCATTTCTTTATTTATTTTTTCCTATTTTCCTGACGGCCTTCCGTAGGCGCTTCTGACTTTAGAAACTAAGCCCTGACAGCAATAGAACATTTAATAATTAATCATATCCAGTGCATTAAAAAATAATAGCCAAAACAAAGTGACTTATTTCTACCCAAAAATGCGACGCAAAACTACTCAGTTCCCGCGAGGCAGAATAGCTCACGTGATTCAATGCGATGCGACATTTCA